TCGAGCCAATTCCTACATGAGAACTTGGCTGGCTGCATTTTCTCTCCTTAAATATAGCTCATTCACCTGAGATAAGCTCTGCAGCTTTTCATGTGTATTTGTACAACCCCAAAATCCCTGTCTTTCACTTTTTCTGAGACAGTTCTGCATACTTCTCCCATTTTACCAAAAGTTAAATTCTAGTCTCAAATCTGTATCCCCCCTACTCATTAAGCTCCCTAGGAAAAGTGACACTTTCTCAGGTTTTCTATCCTTGAGACGCAAAGTGATCAAATACTTAGGCACGAACTCCTAAAACTCTAGTTTCAATAGACAGGAAAGATACTATATAAAAATTCATTCTTTTTATTTGGAGAAAGCCTGAAGAGCTCCTTATTTTTTATTTCATTATACTCAGATAAGAAATTTAAGATCTAAAATAGCTAACCCCACTCAACCACTGCTGTATAAATAACCTAGTTTAGGAATAGCTCAGTATTTCAGTATATATGACCATATACCCAAAAGTATTTACCAACATTCCTCATATTTTTTCATTCTTTAAGATGAGGAAATCTTGGTTATTCATGGCTTAGATAAATTGTCTCAATTCCCCAAGCATTGGCTGCTAGAAATGGGATTTTAAACTAGGTCTTTCTGAATGGGAAAACACATGTGAAATGGAAGAGCAGGTGACCCTTGGCAATTCTGCTAACAACTCTAAACTTTAGTTTAATCATCTAGAAAATGCAGGGATTAAAATCACTTCTAAGGTTGACTCAAGTTTCAAAATCTATGATTTTTTTCAATGACACTTGTTACAAATATTGCCATCGCAATATGTGCAGAAGTTTATCTATTGCTTTGAATTTGTGAGTTATATACATTGCTTATCATTGCCTACTAGACACTTGAAGGATTGTAGTTGAAGGAGCTCATAATATTAAAAGGAACTCACTAACATGCATCTGACAGTGCATGTTATAATATGTTATAATAACATAGCCATAGTTTTTTTCTATGCCTATGTTATTATACTCAGATTTCAATCCTCTTAACCTTAGGTCTGTTATGTAAAACTATGAAATTGTCTTTTTATTAGGAATAAGTTCTTGAACATTTTATTGTAAACATTAACCATTGAAATTCTTTCAAAGCTTTTAATATAAATATGTAATTTGAAATATTTGAGTATTTTCTGAAGATAATAAAAGGGTTAAAATGATAAGACATTTAAACTCTAGTTCTACATACAGTAGGTGAAATAAACATATTAGGTCAAGTGTTCATGGGATAAGGGTCATATTTAATAGCTTAAATTATGCACAAATGTTTTTAATATAGGTTAGCCTTAAAACTGTTTTTATACAGAGATGATCTCTAAACAGAGCATGAATTTTACTAAATACACAAGTATCAATATATTTTTTAATAAGTTGAAATAAATATACTATTCCCATCAGTTTTAATCCAGTCCTAACAAATTCTGTGAACTGGCTACTATCCTACTGCTGATTGCCAGTAGGTCTGAAAGACTGGTACACACTCTCATTTTGCAGGATGTGATGGAATGGAAAGTTCTTCATTATTTCCAAGTAAGTGATTGCAGTGATATCGCTGAAAAATTGCATAATAGATATCCCGGCTGTGTACTGCTTCAAGCAGGCATGCTTTGAAATGGATGAAGTAAAAATCCTTTTAGAGCAGAAAAGTGTTTTTCCTGATCTCCTCCTTTGCAGTCATCTCACATAATTATGATTATTATAATTTAGCAATTACAGAACTTTTAAAATGGATTGTGCTTAAGCCAAGAACTGTTATTACCACCTTATTCTGAACTAAGAATCGAGCACAAAGATTCCATCAGTGAGACCTCTCAGCCACTCTACTTTCTGTTAATCTGAACACTCGAGGATGAAAAGGTCAGGCCCAACAGCTATACATACTGAATAGCTGTTTAACACAGCGAGAGCAGCTAATACAGGCTGGCTACCAACACCGCAACCTGAGAACGCTGAGCCACTGGCAATTGTGGAAGAGAACCCTTCCAGATTTAACTAAAACTATATGTGAAGATGCTTTGGAAAATGAATCAGAGACCACGACAATGTATGCAGGCCTTTTATTTTTTTGGGTGGCAGGAAAGCTATCATTCACAAAAAAGACATTGAAATCAGAAGATAGTGTGGGAGAGCAAGTTTTTACTGAATAAAAACGGAGTATCTTTTTGCCATTTCCAGAATGCCTTTTGTGGGGATGGAGACAGATAGTGAGTCAAGTGATATTTTTTTCTTTTCACTCAAGTTCATATTTTCCAAATGTTTCAAGAGTGGAAATGTATATCCTGGGGTTTTTGGTAGTTATGAACTTTAACACATATTTAACAATTTCTTTCTTCAGGCCCATGGAATAATGAAGGCTATTGACCAACTATTTATTACTTTTATGAAAAAGCTATCAAGAATAATATTTTTAAGTAACCAACAATAGCTGTCTGGTTATAATTAATTTTAGTCCAAAAGGCAGTAAAGTATAATTACCTATTTTATATATATATATATACACACATATATATATATATAATAGATTATCAGTGATTGTAAGTATAATTAAAAAACTCATTCCCCTGGTAAGTTTTCCTTTTCACATTATTCCAAAACTTCAAAATATAGAAACCATATACTAATACCTTAAAGGAATTTTCAGGTAAATGATCTTTTAATAAAGAATAAATAAGAATAGAGGCACACCACTATGCCAATAAAGAATAGTATCATGAGGATACTTCAAAAAGTTTGTTTAAATGGATTAACAGGTAAGTTTTCTTTAATGCAAAAATAATTTGAAATCTCTGCATATTGTTTTCATAATATGCATTTTCATGAACTTTTTGTGATCCCCTCATATTAGTTGGCTAGGGTTGCCATACAATAAACCATCAACAGGTTTGCTTAAACAACAGAAATGTAATATCTCCCAGTTCTGGAGCCTAGAAATCCAAAATCACAGTGTAGGAAGGTCTGGCTCCTTCTGAGGCTTGTGAGGAAAGCTTCTGTTCTGAACCTCTCCTCTTGGCTTGTTAATGGCCACATGTTGTTCTCCTTCCAAGTGTCTATCCAAATTTTCCCTTTTTGAAAGGACACCCTTCCTACTGGAACAGAGCCCACACTAGTAACCTCTTTAACTTAATTAGCTCTATTTTCATCATAACCAAATGTTAAATGCATTAAAAGATGGCTATATTTCCATGATAGCGCAACACACAATACTACATTACAAGGCACTCCATAAATATGTACACCTTTTGCATGTCTGTTACTTTGTTTTTTAATTTGGAAACTTAATTAACTGGTTAGACTGTGTCTCCACCTGAAGTCACATTCTGACACTAGCACTTTGGATTTCAAAACGTGAATTCGGATGACATACAATTCAATTCCTATTAAAAGAGCTTTATCCTTTTAAATAGTTTAAAAATCTCAACTGGGAATCTGAGGATTCAGTGAACTAGACGGTTACCATGCTCCTTCTTAAAAGATGACAGAATAATAGTGTCTATATTGTTCTGCTAATTCCTTTTACAAAGAATCTCTTTACTCCCCTCTTAGAACACTATGTAATGAAATCCTCTTATATTTTATCTGCTTTAGTTTTTTTTTTTACTTTGGAAATTTATATTTATTAAATAAAAGTTGAAAAAATTTATAAATGACATTCAAAAACATTTGTTTTAAAAAAAAGATGTGCATCCCCACAGACTTTGTGAGGTACTCGGGACAGAGTGTATCATCGCAGCCCCCTTCCAGCACACATGTCAGTGGCGGTAAGTACATCCACACGGTCCCTACCGTTACCACCATCTCCAGGCCTGGGTCTGCATCCCAAACCGAAACTCTGCTCCTGAACCAGGAAGTCCCCGTTCCTCTCTGCAGCCCCTTTGTGTGTCTGCATTTGACTGCTCTGGGTCCCTCACACATGTGCAGTCACACACTGACTCTTGTGTCTGGCTTACATCACTTAGCATGTTTTCTTCAGAGTTTGTCCGTTTTGCAGTTTTATACTATGCTGAGAAAACAGACAGCTTTGTTCTTTTTCAAAATTTTTGCCATTCTGGGTCCTTCGTATTTCTGTAGGAATTTTAGACTCACCCTGTCAACCTCTACACCACCACTTGCTGGGATTTCACTGGGGTGGCATCAGGTCTACAGGTCAATTTGAAGAAAACTGACATCTTAACAATACTGGATCTTCCAAAGCCTTGAACACAGTATGCCTCTGTTTATGAAGGCCTTCATTTAATTTCTCTCAACATTGTTTTGTTTTATAGTTTTCACTGCATAGGTTTTCCCCATTTCTCTTCAGCTATATCGCTATGTTCTTAATAGTTCATGATGCTGTTGTAAATGATATTGTTCTTAAAATTTCCACATCAGTTGTTACTTTTATATAGGAATACAATTGACTTTTTCATATAGGTCCTCTATCCATCAACTCCGAAAAGATGTAAACACATCCAAATTGAATTATTACAGGAGTATTCAAGTTCCCTGTTTCTGTGAGAGATTTGGGAGTTTTATTTTTCAAAGAATTTGCCTATTTCATCTAGGTTGTTCAAACACTGCACTATTATCCTTTTAATATTTGTAGTATTGGTAGGAATTCCACCTTATTCTTTACACATTTTTTATTATTTTCATTTTATTTGAAAGGCAGACAGAGAAAGACAGAAACAGAAAGTGAGTGATTTCCATCTGCTGGTTCATTCCCCAAACGCCCTCAACAGGTAGGGCTGGGCCAGGCCAAAGCTTGGAGCCTAGATCTCAAGCCAGGTCTCCCACCTGGGTGCCAGGAACCCAAGCCCTTGGGCCATCTTCCGACGTGCACCAGCAGAAGCTGCATCAGAAGCTGGGATGCTGGGGTCACAAGCAGTGTCTTAACTCGCTGCGCCACACTGCACTCTGCCCAACCCGCCTTGACTTCCTTTTAGACTCCTGAGTTCCTTAGAAGTGTGCTATTTTATTTCCAAATATTTGAGGATCTCCCAGAGATGTTTCTATTATTGTTTCTTATTTAATTCCTTTGTGGTCAGAGAGGCTTTTCTGTATGACTTGAATCTTCTTAGGTTTCCTGGGGTCATGTCTACCAGAATGTGGTTTATCATGATAAATCTCCATGCGCACCTGAGAAGGGTACATCCTGTTGTTGGCTGGAGTGCTATACTAGTTAGGTCAAGCTGGTGGAGAGTGTTGTTAAAATTTAGTGTATCTTCATTGATTTTCTCTACCTCTTTTACCAGCTGTTCAGACAGTCACTGCTGCCTCTGATGGTCGTAGGGGTCTGCCCATTTCTTCTTGCAGTTTTTCCAGGGTTGCTTTATGCAGCTCAAAGCTCTGTTACTTAGGTGCATTTGTGTCAGTCAAAACTCTCCGGAGCGGAACCAGTAGGATGCATTCATATACAAAGAGAGATTTATTTAATGGAACGGACTCTTGTGGTCCACAGGCTTCAGGGATCCCAAATCTGCTGGAGGAGGCTGAAGGGAGCCTCAGGAGAGCTGCAGTTCAGGTCTATGAGCAGCCTGGGGGACCAGGGGCACAGGTGCTGTGCAGGAAGTGAGACGGCGCTCTGTGGGAGATTCTTCTTGCTTGGGGAAGGTCAGCCTTTGGTTTTATTCATTTCCTTAAGGGAATGGGGCTCCCTGCACTGTGGAGACGGGTGTCTGCCTTTCTCCTAACCCACCCATTTAAATTTCAGTTTCATCCAGGAGCACTCACAGCACCATCCATGTTTGACCAAACATCTGTGTGGTTCCTTTTCCAACGTTTTTTACTCCCTTACGTAAATCCATATTTCCATCTGGAATCTTCGTCATCTTGTTGGAAGGAATTCCTTTCGCATTTATTTAGTGCAGTTCCCGGTGGGCACTGGCACTGCTCGTCTCCACCAGGTTGACGTCATACTGGACTGCACTGGCTCTCTGAAGGTGCCCCTTCCTGCACAGGCAGTAGAGGGCTCCAACAATAAGTGTTAAAAGAACAGCCAAAGCCACAAAAGCTGCAAACAGGCTACTTTTAGCTTGGATGCTGGAGCTTGGGAGAAAAACCTCTTCACAACAAGCTCCTGTGTAATTTTCAATGCACCTTCCCAGGCTTCAGGTCTCAACAACCTTCTAATGCAGGGAAAAGCTCATGCCCCAGCCACAGAAAGGGCTGGGAATAGTAGGCATCATGTAACAAATCCCCCCATTCAGGCAGAATGACCTATGACTGGAACCACAGGGCTCTTCGTGATCTGTTGGCATCTTACGCTTTAAATAGTTTCATCCTTGGTGAAAAGATTAAGGTTGGAAAACAGCACATGATTTGTCCATGGATGAATTTTTCTTTTCTTCTAGTCTGCAGAGTAGACAGGAAACTGCCCTTCTTTATGTTTCACCTCTACTTCTACTACTTTAATGAAAACTCCAACAGCATTCTGGTGTGTGATAGCATCCCTTCGACAGCCACAGTACAGACAGGTCTACCTGCAAGACAGACAAGGCTTAAACCCACAGTGGATGTCTTCCATTCCTGATTTATAGCTCCTATCTTCCTGTTGCTGTAGAGCTGCGCTCTCTGCTTTAGTTTTTAATATACGTCACAGTTAGTTATGTGCCCAAAACAGCAGCTAATATTTAAATTTTAGAATGCAAATGACATCAATATTGTGAGAAACAGATAAAGAGATATAGAAATAGATTATGTCTACAAACTGAATGTCTTATTCTGTAAGCAGAAAATTTGTTCTTTACACATATTCTCCAGAAGAAAGCTACAAAGTGGCCATCCCTATATTTACTTTAAAAAGTCAGTGTATCCTAACCCAGACTTTTCTTAAAAATTTATCTAATGACATTCCTTAAAGCACATGGAGGCAGACATGATTCAGGACCATTATGGTAGCTGTTGAGATCTCTGCAACAGCGTCTTCAAGTAGGGGCCAGAGCTCTTATAGTTGGAGCACATGGGGATTTATAGACAAGGAACAATGTGTAATTTGTAAGGGAAAACGTCAGGGGAAGGGCTTGGAGGATTCTGGCTAAGCTGACCTAATAGAATTCCCGCTGAAGACGGGTCAAGGTGATCAGTATTACCTAGGGGATGGTGAAGAAAGAATCTGACAAAATGCCCAAGACAATCAGATAAGGAGGATGGACGTTTATTTGGTAAAAACTAAAATTTGCAAGGAAGAGCACAAAAGGGCTTGACTCAAGTTTGACCAAGCATCATTTTTTTATAACTTTGATAAAATGGCTAAGTAAAAAAGAATGATACATGTTTAAACTCTTTGAATTTCATGTATGGTATATTTTTGAAACTTCACATTTGTTCAGCTTTTGTTCTCTATATAAATAGGAAAGTCTGAGCTTAAAGCTATATTTGAATGTGATTTACCATAGTTCTTATGATTTCAGGGTCTATGGGTGGATAAATGTTCAGTTCTTGACTCTATTACTTAATTGCTGGGTGACCTGGGGCAAGTCATTTAATTCCCCAAAGCTTCAGATTCATTTGTGTTGGTTTGAATAATGATATACATAAAGCAAGAGTATTTGGTGACTAAGAACCAGATCTCTTAGTTGTTACATCCCTGAAATAAAGCTCTGTTTTCTGTTCTTTTCATCTGCAGTAGTGTTGTTTCTTCTTTCAATTGCACAGAGGGCAGAGAAAATTGCACCACATCTATATGAAGTTAAAGGCCTTCAATATAAATTTAACTTTGGAGTTCGCCTTGAGAATATATTTTCTGGCAGTAACAAAAAATAGCATGAAATGATAAGAATTAGATGCCCTTTGGCAGAAGGTTCCTTACACAGATTTAATTTTTTGAAAGAAAACAGCTATGCGAAAGAAAAGAAGCCCTTTTATTACAGCTTAAGTGTCAAGAATAGGTGGTGTGAAACATGATCAAGTTTTCTCTTAAGGAAAAAACTAGGCATAAATTCTATAGTTTATTGAAAAGATAAGGACCCTGAAGACAGTGGTTTTATACCTTTCATGTAAGTATCACTTGTTTTATTTTAGCTCATTTTGTTGTGCCTGCTATGAATGTCAAAGACATGACATGAATGTAAGGACTTGTAAAGCTCTGGTAACAGGAGATCAGGGCTGGATAGGATTACAGAATTGGCTCAAGCTTTCAATGCTTACTGATGTTTATGGTTGAAAAGGTATATATATATATATATATATATATATATATATATATATATATATAAAATCAGAGGTTTCCTCAGAATACAAAGCTAAAATGAAGCCAGCCAGGAAACAGAATACAATTGAGTACTTAATAATTCTATGAGAACTGTCACTGATGCTTTCTATCTTCAATTGAGGGATTAGTCAAGTAGAATAAAAATGAAAAAAAAATCTCAATTCTCATAAACAAAGTAAGAAAATGCAGCAAAGTGTTTGCCTTTTTATTTTGCTTGGACTTCCTTTTCATTTCTCAAATCATGACACTCAACTCTGAAAGTGCTACTGTCAAAGTTACTATTTTCATTTTCCTAGTTTGTTCATGGCAGTCCTTGGATTATTGTGTTCTTTTTGCATCATAAATACCAATAATTGGTGCAGACTTTTCACAAGTATACTCCTTGAATAAGTTTTTTCTTTCTACTCTGTACTTGTTAAATATTATGGTTAGTGGTCCACCAAGACTGTGATTATGGAATAGACTGAAATTATGTTTTTGCAAAAATTTTTAAAAAAGGAAAGGAAGGAGGGAGGTTGAGGGAAGGTTGATGGTTATATTCTTATAGTTGTTTATAGTTGAACCTAAACAATACGTAAAATCTGTTTTCTTTATATCAATAAATTTTTTTAAACAGCCTCACAATCATCATTGTGGCATAAAGACTTAACCTACCACCTCTAACGCCAACATCCCATATGGGTGCCGGTTCATGTCTCAGCTGCTCCACTTCCAATCCAGCTTCCTGTTAAATGCACTCAGGATAGCAGCCAAATATGATCTGTGGGCCCCTGCACCCACATAGTAGATCCAGATAAAGCTTCTGGTTCCTGGATTCGACCCGGCCCAGCCCTGACTATTGTGGACATTTAGAGAGTGAACCAGCAGATAGAAGTGCACTCTCTCTTTCTCTCTCTCTCTGTAATTCTTCCTTTCAAATAAATAAAATACATCTTTTAAAAAAGGAGAAAAGACAGGGCCTCCACCATTACTGATCTATATTTAGTTCAATAAGACATCTTGACTATATTGGTACGTTTCAGTGAAACAAGTCCATGGTGAAAATGAAAGGTAGAGTGACTGCATACAAGTGAATATGTAGGAACTCACCAAATATTTTTAACCCATAAGTTACTGGATATATGTGGTAAACATACTGCCATGTTTGTCATCCTACTGATTGCCATGTTAATCTTAATGAATATGTGAATATTATTTCAAGTGATTTACATAGATTAATATCTGCCATAATCAAGGATATGATTTATTCCAAATTTTAAGTCATTTACATGATGATTAACTACTAAATCATCTCGTATGTTGATCTGAGTATGTGGTTTTACTACAGGTGGAAGCTGGCTTTGATTTCTGACTTCTTTCCTTCTTTGTGTGGACTAGAGATTTGGAAGTAATGAACTAGGAGTTCTTCACATGATGTGTATTTTTGTAGAAATTCAAAACAGTCTTATTAATTGACATAAACAATCCTGTTTCATGCCTAGGGATAGTTATCCTAATACCTCTGAACACCCAATGTCCTCTTGCTTTCTAAAGCAGTGAGTTTCATCTGACCACGAGCCCTGGCACTGTCTAGAGACCATTCTTCTTGCTCTCTGTTTTTATCTGAGCACTTTGGCGGTGAGTATACACATCAACTTTTACTTAGAATGTAAACAACAGGAATGGCCCATTTTTAAAACAACAATATTATATTACAAAGAGACTGAAGATAAATTCTGTACAAAAGGAGAAAAATATAACTGTGAAGGTCATGGTCTGTTTTGGCTGGTACTATTTTTAAGGAAAAAAGTCACTAATTTGAAAATAAAAATTCATGGTTTCTAAGAAAACTTTTAGCATTCTTCTTCTATTTACTGCCTGATTTTGATCCTAAGTGTTCCCCTCTGATCCCTCTTTCTCACAGAAACCCTGTGTGAAGGGAGTTCAGTGGAACATCCCTTACCCACAACCATGACTTAATTGCTTGAACCAAACGTTAAGGTTCCTATCTCACATGGCCTCAGCAACTCTGATAGATGTCTCTGTCTCCTTAGGTTGGCACATGGTGATAAATACCATGAATTCATTTTGCTTCCTTGAGAACTGAGTCCAATAACTCCTGCAGTTGGAACTAGTACTTTAAGATGTTCTTCAAATATCTTGGAAGTTGTTAGGCTTCCTTCCCCAAAAACTCTCTTTGATCAGTTGCAGAAGTAAAGTGTACAGGACTCTGAACTCTTATTCACTCCTTACTCCTCACATAATATTTTAAAAATCCACTTTGATTTATCAGTAATCAAATTATAAAACTATTTCAAAGGAGAATAAGATGGTTTTAATTCAAAAATGGTACATGTTATATACACTTTTATAGAAATCAGACTGAAGTAGCAAAATAAATTCTTTCGCTTGAGTATAACATTAAGTAAAACTCATTGAAGAAAGTATTAATTCTGTAATTTTATGCATATGGACATACATAATATACATGTCTAGATAATATTATATATAAAGTTGTACATCTTTCATTTGCACTTGACATTATATTGCAAACACTTCCAGATGTTGCTTACAGCTTCTGTGCCTACTTCCTTATTAGCAGTGTCTTTTGATGCCTCTGAGTTCTCAGGCTGGCTAGGGTAATAGCGAAGTCTTTGCCTGGTAGTAGGAGACAGAAGCTCGTCTCTCTGCACTAACTGTGGCCTCCAGGAACTCTCTGTGCCTCATCATAGCAGTAGCATTTTTAGTGGCTTCTTTCTCCCTGGTGTCTGCAGCCACATGAAACAGTCCATGATTCCTTTGACCTCAAAGTGCCACACTTCTTAATCTATTACTTTTAGTGACAAGGGCTGTGTTGTGTGTCCCTTTCAAATCCCCTAAGGGTACACTCCTGAAACTGTTTGTATGATAACACAAAATTACATATCTCCTGTTCTCAGCTGCCTTTCACTTTGTGTAACTTGATACTTTCTAATTGATATCATTTTAGATCTGGTAAGATCTCCTATCCCCTAAGATCTAAGCATTCCTTGCCAAGCTTACAGGGCACCCATGGAGTTTTCTAGTTTGAGGTTTCTCATGAATGTGACAACAATCCTGAATTTATCTTCCCTTGTACTCACTTCCTGTTTCTTATCTTCCGATAAAGCACTGTGTATAAATGCAATTCTAGGGGGCCAGAGCCATGGCTCATTTGGTTAATCCTCCGCCTGCAGTGCCGGCACCCCATATG